GGCAGTAGGTACGTAGCATTGTACATTAAAACAAGAAAATTAGTGATGCATGAATGTGACAGGTAGCGGTGAGAGCATTGTACCGAGCAAGACTGTGATGACAGTGATGGAAAAGTTTTAGAAAAGAAAAAATACTAACTTCGGACCCAGATGAAGGCCCTAATGAGTGGATATCAATGGGAGGCAAATACCGTGAGCTTTTTCTTTTCCAAATATTATTGCTTCTCTCAGAAAAGGAATTATTTTCTGTATTGAGATAGCTTGTGGACAAAATTAGTCGTGTGAACAACGTGGTCTTAAATTTAAGACCACATTGTTAAGCCACTGTTCAGGCGTACTTTTGAAGTAGACATGTTAAGTGCAATTTAAAATGTCTAATATAAAATATGACACAAATAATTTTTTGTGTTTATTTGATTCATATTCAAGACACTGATAAGAACTACTATATGTAATTTGTTTTTTTTTTTCATTTGTTTAGATTTTTGATTGGTGGTGTGCCTCGTGATTCTTTCAATGAAAACAATGCACTTTGACTCAAAAATGTTGAAAAACACTGGTGTAAATAATAAATGCACTGAAATAAAATGCCACTTTTTGTCATATGAACCACTTAAAGCCTTTTACTCTATATCCACCATCACCCAACCACACTCACTAACACACTAGACGTTGGACAACTTGGAGGTTAAGTGCTCTGGGGTTAAGGGATTAATTCCCATGTGACTGGAAATTAACCCAAAACTTTCTGATTGCAATATCGCTACTCTGCCCACTGATCCAAAGTCACCCCAGTAGATAGAGATCGGCAAAGATATTAGAGAAGACGAGGCCTTTTCCAAATTACTACAAACTATTGAATTTACTCATGAACCCAGAAGATGCCAATAAGATCACCAAAAGTCTGACCATGCACTGCATCCATCCCAGTTTCATATTTATATTTCATACCATATCATTAAACCGGATACATATGCAAACACGTAGCTTAGTGATTATAATGTTACGGATTACTAGCACTGTCATCATTCAGCAATGCAAGAAAGGAAAATGCATTTATCTGGTAGAAACTGCCAGTGATCAGCGTTGGCTGTCATTGGGTGTTGAGAGTCTGTCAGTAGCTCTTGCTGATGTTTCCCAAAATAAGGAAAAGCTGCCTGGATTAGAGTTTTGTATAAATCTGAACATCTTACACAGAGGAATAATCCTCTTCTATTCCTTCAGCAGACGGGCAGCTGCCTGCAGGTGATTTAGCGTCTCTGTTGTGTACAGTAGAAACTGATTACGCTGTGGGTGCACTCCTTGATGAATTTGCTAACACTTGTTCTTTTTCTCCTCTGGGAATGATAAATGGGAGACGCATGGCCATTCTGATTTGCTTTTGCTCTGGCTGGGGTAAACTGACACACAGGTGAGGAGCCGAGTTTCTTATTATATTATCTGTCAAGGAGCTGGGAAAGAATAAAATTGGCTTTTGTTGCCTTGTATAATTTGGATGGCCTCCTGTAAAAGTATTTCTGATGCTTCCTATTCTTCCTTCCCCAGACATGTTTTGAATCTTGGATATCTTTTTCTGTACCTGTACCATACTCAACCACAACCACATTATAGCTCTGTCTCTTGGATCACCTCAGGATGCACTCATGTACCAGGTTATTGTTTCACTACTCGTCTGCATTGGTATCAGACCAGTATGGCCAGTTCCGCTTAAGATTCTTGTGCATCCCCCACATCAGGAATAGTTCATGTATTTCTGATGGCAGTATAGTCCAACTTCACTTACCCTCACTCATTCTGCTGTAATCGTTGTAAAGTACATTTCCCCTAAGGCGCTAATAGCAGATTTCATTTTCATTCAGCACCAGAGGATTCCCCCAAATTATTTTTTACGAATATATTGATTGATTGCGGCACAGAATGATCATTATTATACCCACAACGCATGGTAGTATAATCTACTGGTGACTGAAGTTAACACTTTAGCATTAGCTTCCTCTAAATAATGAGTTCTGCTTTAGCATTAGCAGAACGGATATTTATGAGTTACTATTTAGGGTTAGCACAACAAAACAATATTGTAATGAATCAAAGTTAAGCCACATGACCAAAATCAGTTAAAGTTCAGCCTAAGGTCGATCGAGTAAGGTTTGATGTTACCAGAAGGCACAAATGGAAGATCTAGAAGTTGGCTGTGAAGCCAAAGCTTGCTTGGACCGACGGTCGGAAAAGTCAGTGAAATGTAGCAGGTCTGTTTGAAGGTTCAAGATATATCAAAACAGTTCCAGTCTTTAGGTCTGCTTCTTACTTGGTCATTTTCCACACAACATGACTCAAGGAGATTCTTTACCAGATAGAAATGTTTGATATTAAAGGTCAGAACATTGTTCACCAGTACAGAGGGATTTGTTCTCCCTCACTTCAGCTTGTTCTTGATATATGACCTTGGCAGAACATATATCTGAAAGGTTGTTGGACAAATATGACATTGTTGTCCTCCTCCAGGAAGTTCTTCACATTAGTTCTTGTAAAGTATGGAGTAACTTTGTTAGTGTTCTAACAAGAACAAAGTTAGTAAAAGGACTCACTTTCCCTGTTCTTGCAGAGTGTTTTTGGCCTTGCGTCTGACATTAAGAGCTGTCTGAAGTTACTCTTGCTTTGATTAATGAAGGCATAAACTGTAGGTGGCCACATGCTAGTTTCTGTTTACTCATTTCAGAATTTAACGCTTAATGAGGGCACCACTACTAACGTCAAGGGACAAACTGCACATTCAGAGAACATTTCAGACCAGTCACCGTCTGAGGAAAACCCAACAGAGAAGGAAGTGGTAGTAGATGTCATCTGTGAACTTGTCTGGTGAAGATACTCAAAGCTAAGCTAGTGAGTTCAAAGTAAGGAACCCTTTATATATTTTGAGGTTTTTATTTTGAAGTAGCCTTTTGGGCACTAAGTAGAAAACAGAAATGTTGACAGAGTGACAGAATACAAATCACTGACAAATAGAGGCTAATTGTTAGCCATAGCAAATTGTACTGAGATTGCATCAAATTTAATTTGGTCCATTTCCCTTTGGGATCAGTAAAGATTTTTTTTAATTAAATTGAAATCACTCAGGTATTAATTAAAAATATGAGTATTGTGCCTCTAGAAAGGCACAGACCACCAGTGGGATAGGAAAGTTTGCTACATTAGAGGTTGTCTGGCAAATATGTTTCCATCTCCCCTTTAGAGTGATAACTTTTTCAGAAAAGCCAAAAATCACCTCAAATGAGGGTTAATTTTTTTCTGCTAACTTGAGGAAGTTATTTTAAATTTCGCTGTTCCCCTCAGCCTTATCTAATGTGAATCGTAAAAATGCACATAAAAAATTTATGTGCATTCCTTTGTGGACAAGCAAAGGAACAAGTGTACCTGATAAAGTGGTCGGTGGATGCATGCCTCAAGAATGTTCTTCCATTTTTTTTGCCATTAGATTACCACTTTAGGAAATTTCTATTTTTTAATCAAATAACCCATTCTTCACCTTTTTCCCCCCATCACCACATATTTCTCTTTATCTCATTCAGCTCCCAGCTGCCCACGTCTTTCATTCTCATGCCATTAAGCACATTACATTTGAACTTTTATTCTGCTGTTCCCCTTTCCCCATATTTGCATGCAGCAGAAAATAAAAAAAACATATAGCTCAGGCTTTCCTCCCTCAGTGCCTATCCACACTTCCCTCATCCTCACTCAGAGACTCGCTCCCTCTTCCTCTCGTCTTCTTAGATGTCAGAGGAAACTAATTTAAGCTGGAGGTTTGAGCCTTCAGCTCTTGCAATCTGTCAAAACAGAAGAACTGCTCCAAGATGAAAGGGTAGATCCAGGCCTCGGGATATTGAGAGACAACTTCTGAGGATTTATATAGAACTTATGTAACTTTCACAATGTGGAACAGAAGACTTTTATAGCATATTGTATCACAGCTGTCCTTGGAACCGTCCCGCCCCCTAAAAAAAAAAAAAAAAAACACCCAGGTTTTATCATGCTAAAATGCTCTGCTGATACCAAACTGTCATGCATGAGAAAACAAGTTATATAAGCAAAATATACAGAATAAAACAACACAGCCAAAGCATCAACACTAATTCAATTTTGTCTGCAGGTGCTGGGAAAGATTTCTATAATAGGGAGGCGGAGAGTCAGGTGTCTCTGCAGTGGCTCTGCAGTGGAGCAGCGCTGCATATTGAGGGGGCAAAACTTTAAAATAAAGTCTGTCGTTACTGGGAATAAACAACTGTGCCGCCGTCACCAGCCACTGTCATTTAAGAATGTGCCCGCCATCACTCTTCGTCTCACGCTCCACCACACTCGTGTTACAGGCCAGCACTTTTCTAATCCACTCATATGCATCAGTTTTAATGGAGGAATCAATCAGTGATAACCTCCTATAGCCAAAGGAAACGCAGCGTTCTCTGGCTAGGACGTTTGGAACACTTTGTGTTCCTTTCTCGTATTAATGCTGCTCTGGCAGCGAGAATGAAAGAAAAAAATCAAAAAGAGTTAACGTGGATATGGCCAAAAATCAAATTGACTATGTTTAAATGGGCTTTTGAGAAACCATTGCTTTTGAGAAACCATTGCTTTTGAGAAACCATTGCTTCCTGGACATGTGGACTCTGACATTTTAAATAATCACTTATACACTAAACTACTTTATTGGTTTATTTAAGTTTTACAAGATTTCCATGGAGTAAAGCAATGAAGGTAAATCCTTAGACAGTCTGTCACTCATGGTGTCAGATTCATGTCTTGTGAGGACAGCCAATCAATGAGCTCCATTCATTTTTCTTAGTGTTGATTGGCTGTACCTGATTCTTTGAACCAAGGCCATGCTTTGGAGGGTGTAATTTGTTGTTATTTTTGGTAAAATAGACCTCCAAATGTAAATGACCTTATTAGTATTTTGTGTTTCCTCATTTAAAAACGAGTATTTGTTAACATAAGAATTTATGCTTTTATTTTGAAAGGGTTTGAAACGGAAGAGTGGTGAAGTGTGACGCCAACGTTAGACAATTAACTGACAATTAACAGCTGGTCATCGCGCAGAAAGAGAGAGCGCTCAGGTTGGAGTAAAGCTAATAAAGCTAACATGTTCCAAACACCTGGTGATATCAGATTAGGGTGTAGACAGTCAGTTGGTTGGCGCTTGGTTGATGGGGAACAAGGTGAGAGTTTTTAATATGTAAATATATATTTAGTTTTACTGTAAAACGTGTAATTTGCTTTGGGTGTGACGGTTGTGTTTTACTATTATACGGCACTAATATTCGTTGATTAACCGTTAATAGTTAATATGTTGCACTTTATGACAGGTTTAATTACAGAATGTAAGAAAGATGATTTATATGTTAAAGTAAAATGTGAAAACAACACTGTTTGAGTTATTAATGTATTTTATTTGTATGTTCTGTAGCTCTTACGGTGTGTTCACATAAAAAGGCATTCAATAAACGTTGTGAACCATCAGTTTGAGAGACCATCCATTCAACCGGGACGCTACACCAAACACTTTGGTCCTGAAAGTTTTGAACAATGTCGTACAGTTTCAAATGACATCAGAAAGTTTCTCTTCAAGCAGAGGCATAGCAGTAAAAAAGTGATTTAAGCCGAAACTCTGAAGGAAAACAAGGCTGCAAAGACACATGTTCTATAAAGAGAGTAAAACATCCCCAGCTCTGCTAGCGGGTAACACTGCTGAAGTTTAACTTTATTAGTTTGATCACCCAACCCAGAGCCTAAATAACTTGTTTCACTCTGATTGCTGTCTTGCCTCGAAAGACAAAATTCACCCCTCTGCTATTTTTCATTATGTTGGCCTGAAACCTAAATGGATTTCTTGGGGGTTGGCTGCACACATGTAGACTTGATTGAAAAAAAAAAAAATCATTTGGCTTCTGGTGGTAAATGGCTCCACATTATTATGTTGTAGGGTATCAAAAGAAACAAGATGAACATATGTTCAATCATTGACTTTATCTAGTCACTGTCAATTCGCTGGATAAATCTGTCAAATGTATTGAATGTTTTTAATCATTGATAGGTCTGTGCAGAAGAAAGTTCAAGTGAGGAGACGTCATCAGAAGAGGAATATGTTCCTGATTTGTAGAGGATTCAAACCTCTCATGGGACGACAAATCAGCCTTTCAAAATCAGACACAAACAACTACAGAATTGTGAGGTCTCCACCAGCAAGTCTACTTCCAAAAAGAAAAGACACAACCACGAAGGTTCTGTATTGTGCATCAACCTCTCTAATACTTATACTCAACAGAGCGTCCATTTATGAAGCTGCAGAATCATCTAAAGATATGATCAGCTCAAGTCAGCTTGAAATATCAAGAGTTACTGCCAAAGTACTAAACACTGATGCTGAAGACATAATTGGTAATGATGGTGCTGATGGTAGGGCTGAAAAGGTCTCAAACACATCATCTTTACTCAGAAATAAAACTTACTGCTACATTTGTGGAAAACTACAGACAAAGTTTACGCGTCACTTAAAAATGCACGAAAAGACACATGCAGATGTTGCTCAAATTTTAAGTCTTCCCAAGAAGTCCAAACAACGTATGAAAATGCTTACAAAGCTTCGCAACAAGGGAAACCACAGTCATAACTCGGAAGTCTCAGAGAGTGGAGTTGGATCGCTAAAGCGCACTTCAAAGAAAGAGTACAATGAAAACTACATTCACTGCATGTATTGCCAGGGATTATATCTCCGATGAGACCTGTGGCGACATGTTCGAAAATGTTCTTTAAAATCAGAAGAAGCTGCTTCAGAGATTGAAAGAAAAAAGGTTTTGTCTTTGGCCTCTATGAATGAGTCAGCTCTGTGTCAACAGATATCACCAGGTGTTTGGAACATGTTAGCTGTTATGAGAGATGATGAGATCACTTCTACTGTGCGAAGTGACTTCTGTATACTTCAGCTGGTCCAATCATTCTTTAACAAATATGGACAGGATCCCACCAAATATGACTACATTCGCCAGAGACTTCGAGAATCTGGAAGATTTTTGCTTACGCTTCGCGAGGAATTCTCAATACATACTGTTGAGGATGCTGTGAGACCTGCAAATTTTAATGTGATTGTCAAAGCAGTCAAAAAAGTATCTGGATATGATGAAGAAAAGCACCACTACCGTACTCCAAGCCTTGCTCTAAAGTTAGGTCACTCACTGCAGAAAGTCAGTGATATTTTACATTGCAGAGCACTCATGGCACAAGACAGTATGCTGATAAAGTCAACGCAGAGTTTCAAAACACTCTATTCTACAAAGTGGTCTGAAGTCATCTCTCATACTGCTTTAACTACATTGAACGAACGGCACTTTAACAAGCCTTCCACTCTTTCTTTCACAGAAGATGTTCAACGTCTTCACAGACATCTGGAAAAGACTGCAGAACAAGAACTGAAGGACTTGGAAGACCATAGTTCACCAAAATTATATAGTGAACTGTGTGAAATGCTATTTGTAGACAACCTACAGTTGACTGATTCAGATGCTGAGAGTGAGGTCGATGATGAAGAAGAGGTTGATGCTGACCATGAGGTTGATGAGGGAAACTTCACAGATCTACAGACTGGTAAGAACAATGTTTTATATATATCCATCCATCCATTTTCTGTAAACCCTTGTCCTTTGTGGGTTTGGGATGATCTGCTAGTGCATATCTCCAGCTGTCAACAGGGAAGAAGCAGGGTACACCCTGGACAAGTTGCCAGTCTATTGCAGGTTTTACATGTATGTCAAGTCAAATTTCTTAATATAGCACTTTTCAGAAAGAAGGTGATACAAAGTGTCTTGCATGATTAAAAACATACTTCAATATTTTGTAGCTTAACAACTAAACAAAAAATACATGATACATTTTGTACAGTACAGTATTTTTTGTCAAGTAAATCAATGAGTTTTTGGCTTAATATGACGGCATCTAAGTAGACTTTTTTTTTTCTGTCTGACTTATTGTGCATCGACCTCTCTAATACTTATACTCATCTTTTGCCATTTCTGTTTGTAATGAAGTAAATTATATTTTATGACAGATTCTGCAGGACTGTTAACTAGGCAACCTGTAGAGGAACCTCTAGGCACGTCTGCATCATTCTCACAAGGTTAGCCCTTATCTTTGGTCTACTAACATGTTACCTTATTTAATTGATTTTAGGCTATGAAATAATGCACAGTGTAATCAGACCTTAACTTGTTTGTCATTGCAACAGTTACAATAAATTTGGTGGAATGTCTCTTTTTTTGGTTCCCTGTTTGCTTGGCTCTTTCTGTGCTCTTCTCCTTGGTCTTGCAGAGCCTGGTTAACTTTCCACTCACTGCTCGAGTCTTATTTTAGTTAATATCTCAGGTCAATGACTCTTGTTATTAGTAACACTTGGCATATCACACAAACATATGCGTCACTGTAAACTACATGTCTAAACTGTACGTCGGGATTTCATCATTAAGAGAATAAATGATGGCATCTAAGGCAACTCCTTTATGCTTAACCTCATAAAGGAGTGTATTGGACTTGACAGTTTAAGGAACCTTCCAACAACAAATTCTCAACCAGACCATTGGTTTTTTTTTCTTCTTTTCAGCACAAAGTAAACACAGAGATGCTAAGGGGAAAGAACTCAACAGAAAACTGAAACAGAAGGACATAGAGCACCGCAAAAAAAAGAGCACAAATAAAAATTCTAGTAAATCACCATACCTACACAAGTCATGAAACACTAAGCTATTTAAGCTCAAAAGCACAACTGAAGCATGGTCAAAAGTAATGATCCAGACCACTAAAAGGCAATAGGGTGACCATGTTCTTCTTTAAGCATGATATTGTGAGCTGACATTATTCAATATGTCATCTGGCTTAAGGTACCATATAAAACTACTTTGTATTAAATTGATAAACATTCACACAATGTTCAGATGCTAGAAAATCTAATTTAGTAATGAGTAATGGGACTGTTTATACTACTTTCTCTATGCCAATCTTAATCTGAAATACATTTGCATAGTTATGTTTTTTTCAAAATAGCTAAACACCACAAAACTGTAATAAGCAAAGTAATGGAAATATATCTTTAAATTTGGTTAAGTTAGATTTAGAAAACCAGAGATCTCAATCATGGGGGTCGTTGCTGAAGCTGCGCCTGCACAGAAATGTCTTTTGGTGAAGTGAGACTGTTCTGAGAGGATCTCCTTCACTAAAAAAAAAAGACTAGGGACCAGCATGAGAAGGAGGAACAAGTCTTTTGGCTTTGGGTGGTTCTTCACCAGCTTCTGAGGCTTGTTTGTCAAACAAATGCAATTTTAAATTATGAAAAATCCTGTTTTTCCAGAATTCAGTTAATCAATCATACATACCAAGCAAGTGTTAACAGCAGAATAAGCTGTTTGGCATCGGCAGAAATACATTTTCATCTGTGCAATCTACATGCTCATTTCTATAGCTTGTCCCAAGATTAAGTTGTTTACAGAGGTACTGTATGTTTATAAATGCACATTTTAAAAGGGGAATAAACAGGCATTACATAATTTATAACCAAGACAAACTAACAATTAATATACCAAACACATGTTACACATGCAGTTGGTTTTCAATAATGATTTATTTCTCTTTTTTCTAGCATCTCTGGAAAGTACTAGGAGAGCAAAAAAGCATCCATGGTCTCCCATAGAGGTTGCTGCGGTCATGAGGCACTTTGGAGAACACATCAAAACAGGACAACTGGCCACAATGATAGAATGCCAGCAATGCAAAAAGGCTGAGGATCCTGCTCTTGCTCGTCGATCTATCCAAAACATAAGAGATTTTGTGAGAAATCGAGGTGTAACTTTGAAAAGAAAAGAAAATCCTGCATGGTTTATGCGTCGTTTATGCGTCCATCAGTGATATCGGCAGCACACTTGGGACAATGAGAACCAGACCACAGGTAACCTTTGTTCTGATATCACTAATGGTTAAGCATTTCATCCTGTGAAGGCAGGACAAGGGTTGATATAGTTTGAGTTATAATGGCAAGTTGCTTGTTAAACCGAATACATAAACATATTGATGTTTTTGAATCATTGTTTGGTATAGAGCTGTTACTGTACTTTCAAAAATATTCAAATGTATTTCTACTAATACGATGAATATGTTAATCTTGTTCACACAATTTAATCTCTGATTTAACAATTGTCATATGTTTAATTTACTTTTGCCATTCACATATTTTCCTTTATGTTCACAAGTAGAATTGTTGCTCCAGTTCTTGGTGAAAGTGCTGTGAAATTTTCAGTGGAGTTATATTTCACATTTCCATGTTTGGGCTTATTTACTTACATTTCATGTTTGTGTATGGCATGGTCCTGATGAATAAAGTTCGGCCCTGACAATTACTGTTGGTGTCATGGGCGGAGCCAAGCACCTCATTATCTTTTGTCCTTTTAGTACACCATTGGGTCAGGTCATTATATTTTGAGTTCTGATGTGTGTATCGAAATTATCAAGTGAGAACTATGTTGTGTAGCTCAAACAAGACGTTTTACAACTTACTAGGTCTTTCTAGCATAAGTGGAAAGGGGTGACTGTTTAGTGTTGCAAAAAACATGTTTTAAAAAAGTGTTCTTCTCAACCACCAAAACCCGGGTGTGTGGGTGTGTGTGAAAACCTCTGTAAACAACTTCCACTTTTCACTTTTATGCAGTTGGGCAGTATTTCATGTTGGCCTATCCTAAAACTCCTCTCCTAATACATTTTCAGAATAATCAAAAAAGAAGATAATTGGACAGAAGGCTTGGCTCCAGCAGTAAATATTTCTCTACAGATCCTATCTGCTTTGTTCTCTTTCTAATTTATGAGAAAAACAGTTGACTTTCTTTTGTGCAATATGTTGCGTAAGTAGATGGCTCTGCTGGTTCCTCAGCGAGGAAAGTGAAAGTCCTTTGTTTAAAAAGTGTGTGTTGAAGCTGGTGGCAGTTTGGCAGAGAGCTATCCCATCACTGGTTAATGCATTCTGGGGCAAGATGACTGCACACTTCCTCAGTTTGAGAAATTCTGCAGCTGACACTCCATCAGATTAATTGTGTACTCATTTTCCTCGAGGCTCTTTCAGAAACTAACTCACTCTGAACACCACACAAACAGCACAGTGTGTGTGTGTATGCGTGTGTGTGTGCATGCTTACATTGTTATTGTAATTTGTGAGTGTGACTGTGAAGCCTTAGATTAATGCTGACATATTTGTTACATACTGTATAGCGGAGGCTTTCTGTGAGTGCATCACCATCTCCAGGCTGTCCACAGGCTATATTACCTTCCTAAGCTGCGCAGTAACAACAAACATCATCAACGTGCATCAGCAAAACACACAGGTACACACACAACCCTGAGGTGCATGCGCACACAACTTGTCAGTCACACACATAAACACACATGGGGTAAATGGTAAATGGCTTGTACTTGTAAAGTGTTTTATTAAGTCCAGAGGACAAGAAAGTTCTTGACACTACATTTACTCATTCAGACACTGATGGTGGTCGGTTGTAGTGAGACAGAATGGAGGCTTCCATGCTCCAGTACCACCAGCAGGCGAGGCGGGGGAAGGGTCTACACCAAGGACACGATTACTGACAGACTGATTCGAACTTGACGTCTTTAAGATGAACTCTCACCGCCCTCAAAAATGTGTTTTAACATATGTTTAATGCAGGTAGATATGGTGGTATTTTGTGAATTAGATGAAACTAGTGATGAATCTGATCTCACAGTCGGTTTGAATATCAGTCTTAAAAGGTAAAAATAACTGAAACACTTTATATGGAAACATAAACCAACCACAGCAGAGACTCTGATCTAATAAAAACACATGTTCAGTTTGTCTCTGAAGTCGGAAGAAGTAATTATGGATTGCTTATCGAAAAGCTAAGAGTTTCAATATGAACTTAGGTTCTCTGTCAAAATGTTTCCAATGGTTACAGCCCTTTAAAACACAGAATATATAGCTTAGCATTTTTTCTAAACCTGTTTTATTATATGTGGAGCTGCTGACTGTACAAGAGTCACTAACAGAATTGGGAACTGACTTGATACATTTACTTAAAAAATAATGACTTCTATAGGTCATTTAATCAAGTATGTTGATTTATAATAAAAGTCTTCCTTCACCATCCCTTATACTTCAGGGTGAGTGATATCATTTTAAACTAACAATAACATGGCGCTCAGCCCCAGCTCCTCCACCGTTTGAAGACATTTGACCAAAGATGAAACAGACACAAACTAACGTCTTATGTTGAAGTGAGAAAACCTTTTTTGCATATTTTTTTTTATTAATTGCATGACATGTGTAACTATAGTTTAATGCACTTGTTCTATTAGCTAGTTAGATTAAAACATGGTTAGTTGCTCCAGTCTTGACAGTGTCATGTCGTAAAACCATCCGAGCAAATTAACACGATAGACACTGGAAATGTTTATTTTAATGGAAATATGCTTAAAAATAAAACATTTTGCCATAATTTTATTTACAAAAACTTTCTAATAAATCATAATGTACTAATGATTGTGAGCTGCTGAAATATCCAAGAAAATTTGAATCAGTGGTTCGTACAATATTTTTGAGTCCAAGCATTAGGACTTTTTTTTTGCATCAATAGTTGGTTGTGTGACCTGACTCTTTTAAAGAGTAATTCTTACAAAAAGGATTTTAAATACTTGGAAATGTATTGAAAATGATTTAATTATATACGAATACATAAAAAAAAACATACACTATATCTACTTTCGAATCTATTACCTATTGAACAAAAATGTAATACTTAGAAGCCTTATTTAAAAAAACTAAAATAAAGTATGTTGATTTAAAATAAACGACAAATTGTAGAAGCCAATAAAAAGAGCCGGACATTTTTATAAAAAATTCTTTACACTAATCAAATGCCAATAATTGGAAATGGAAAGTTTATAGTATCCATTCTGGGTTTTTCGACTGAAGCTGCATTAAAAGCAAGGACAGCGGGTGGGAGTTGTGCTTCCAGGAGTCACGGCTCAAAACCAAACAGTGGGAGGAAAACAGTCTCATACAATGACTTCCCCTAGAAAAATGGCTTCATGAGTTACCTTCGTGCCGAAGGTAAACTTGTATATTGAGAAATGGGACGACGGCCAAAGACAGAGAGCCGGCATTAATTTATCAGAAGTGACTCTTAAGTAGTTTAACCTTTCCATTTTTAAAGTATCACTTAAATCTCCTCGCACTCAGGACTGATAAAATGACGCGAGATTTCTCTTTGCCAATATCGTTTGCAAATTAATCAAACCGCCAGTCTGATTAGAAAATGACTACCACCAGACGGGTCCCTTCATTTATGAAGAGGGAGGAAACCTAAAGACAAATGGAGAGAAGAGGCAAAGGTGGAGAGACAGAGAGAGACAACGAGGAGGAGAATGAAAGACAAGATGGAAAAGAGACTGAAACTCCTGCAAAATGAAGACGAGGTCAGAATGAAGCAGGAAATGAAGAAAGTGGGGATGTGTGTGTGTGTGTGGGGGGGGGGGGGTAGTTAGATTAGATTAAGCAGTAATCAATGTCGGACATTAATTGCAGAGTTGAATTAAAACTCTGTAAATGAGCTGATTAAAGTCATTGTTCAAAACAACACCAACAAAGAGCGTTACTCAGTGCTGGAGGAGTGACGCTCTCCTCCAGCAAAAAAAAAAAAAAAAAAAACATACACACATTTTAATTTAAAATTATTGAATGTTAAACCTATATATAGAATATGTGATTTATATTACGAGGATTTGGATAATTGTGGAAGAAGAATGATACATATTTTGCTGTTTATTTTATTTTTACATTTTATGTACCAAAATGTGGATATGTGCAGTGTATTTGTATTTTTTGTTTTTATTCCAGATCTAATTTCTAACAGTTTTGCAGGATAAGAGACTGAACTGTTTTCTTTTAGTCCATTCTTCTTGTCAATTCTCCTGGCATGATGTTTGTAAACATCATGCCCGGGGCAAATGTTCACATACATGAAATATATTCATAATTCAGCCTTGGTGTCAACGTTAATCATCTGTCAGCCAATCAGAGGAGACCTTGGTGTCTTATTCAAGCATTTGAGCAACAAGCCCCGCCTACTTGGGAGTTTCTATGCATGCTGTGTTTTTGGGTAATTAGGCCCGAGCAGCTAAGCGCTGTGAAGGCCTATTGTATCTGTACTGTTTATTATTATTATTAGGCCCGAGCAGCTAAGCGCTGCGAAGGCCTATTGTTTCTGTACTGTTTATTAGGCCCGAGCAGCTAAGCGCTGCGAAGGCCTATTGTATCTGTACTGTTTATTATTATTATTATTATTATTAGGCCCGAGCAGCTAAGCGCTGCGAAGGCCTATTGTTTTCCTACTGTTTATTATTATTATTATTATTATTATTATTATTATTATTATTATTATTTTTCTTCCCACCTCTTTGGGGGGCTTTTTGGGGGCCTTATCATATTGGAAAACTCACCAAACTTGGCGGAGGCCTTAAGCCTGTTTAAAAATTTTGATTTTTAAGGTCATCACAAAAATCCCACAAGAAATGGCTCAATAGCGCCACCTAGAAATTTTCTAAGGACCCTTTGCTATTCACTTACTTTATCCTAGAGACATGAAATTTGGTACACTTGTAGAGCTCCCCAGGACGCTCAAAATTTACTATTAATGTCATAGTGCAAGTATCACAGGAAGTCAGCCATTTTGGATTGAAGGTCCAATTTTGAGGCCATTTTTGCCGTTTACAGCCTTCGTATTTGATCGAACTCCTCCTAGGGATTTCGATTGATCGGCTTCAAACTCGGCCAGTCTGTTCATAAGGCATGTCCCATCTAAAGTTATCAAAACGGTGAGTTTTTGAGTATGCTGAAGGGGGTTTAGCAGGGGTCAAAGTTCACCTACTCGCCAAAAAAACATAAACTGCTATATCTCCTACACAGAAACTCACAGAGGCACCAAAGTTACTGTGATTAATCATCATTGGCTGCCCTACAATACCCTATGGTCGAATGATGACATCACTTAGACCACGCCCCTGAGAACAGGAAGTGTAATGTTTTACTGTGAACTTTCACTATCTGACCCCTTTGACCTCATCAACATGAAACTGTGCCCAGACACAGAGAACATGTTGGTGTGTTGAGTATTCCAACCCCGACCAGCTTCGATGGAGCAGGTGGACATGGGGGCGTGGCGAAGTGACCTGTAACGCCATCGCCATACGTTTGGCTCTCAATTCCACATTTTCAGGCCCAGCTACTCCAAACTCACAAGGATGGTCCCTCATCAACTCCCCTACAGGAATCCATCACAATATTTGGTGGGCGTGGCCTAATTTCTCTATAG